GTGGTTGTTGTTGTTGTTGTTGTTGTTGTTGTTGTTGTTGTTGTTGTTTGAGGCGCCTCTTGTTGTTGTTGTTGAGGCACCTCTTGTTGTTGTTGTTGAGGCACCTGTTGTTGTTGTTGTTTGTTCTCTGGTTCCTGCTCATCTGCTTGATGTTTTGAGGGCTTGCTGCTCGTGGGTGCCATCAGTGACTGCAGAAGGGAGACAGCGAGTGGCGCACCTGGTCGTAGAAACACACCCCAACAGGTTGGACGATGAGTGTTCGTTGATCCACCTGAACAACGCGCTGGAGAAGTAGGCAAGGTACATGTGGCAAAGTGGGCAAGCTACACACCATCATTTCGCTGCCTCAAGGCCTCGCCGCGAGGTTGGAGCTGCTGTTCCTTGAAAACTGGCTCCGTTCGCTGGGCACCTTGCACTTGAGGTTGCGAGTGACAAGCGGAAGAAGCAACGTCAGGACATGTGTGTGTGTGTGTGCGTGTGTGCGTGTGTGTGTGTGTGTGTGTGTGTGTGTGCGTGTGCGTGTGTGTGTGTGGGGGGGGGTACCTGCGGGCTCCGCGTCATTTGACTCCGACTTCGGTTGCCACGCATCATCTGTATGTATGCAGAATGTACGGTCGCCGATGAGATTGTTGGTTGGTGTGTCTTGCACGTCATCCACGCGGTACATCACGCATGCACGACCGCATCACGCATACACAGAGCACATACATGCGAGTGCACGTACGAAACAGCGGTTTCCTCGCGCCCTCCCGAGTGCTTGCCGCCTTCTTGCCTCCCCTGCGGCCGCGCACAGGGAACAGCCGCAGTCTCGACGGGGCCAGTGTCTTCACTCTTTTCCGGGGGTGTTCCTGCTTGATGCCCGCTTGTCGACATCGCTTCTGCCCGTCGGCAATGATGGAGATCCTGTCCGTGAGGCGGTCGATGAGAGTGCAAATGTCCTCAAGGTCAACGACAATCCCCGAGGGGTATTCTGTGATTTCGTCCAGCTGCCGCGACATGGTGCGCATGAGCTGTTTCACGCGATCTTTGGTTCGCCCTGTTCGGCCAGCAATGCACGGATGATCGTGTGAGTACGCAGGAGTGGATATGTGTGTGTGTGCGTGCGTGTGTGTGTCTGTCTGCCCGAGCGTGTGCGCATCTCTTTCTCTCTCAACTCACTCACTAGCACATACACACACACACACACTCGCTCTCTGTCACCCTCTGTCACTCTCTGTCACTCAGTCACTCTGTGTCAGCGCGCACGCGCACGAGTACGCTCGTGTACACGTGCATGATATCCTGTTTCACCTGTGTGCCGGCTTGGTTTGTGTTCTGGCGTTGGGGCAGCGACGGGAAATGATGTGGCTCGGTCGGTGCTGCCCGTCGTGTGAATGAAAACCGCAGCCGTGTGCTTACATACAGGGGGAGAGCCCTTGTACGCAGGACACACGCACTCATAGACGTGGATGCAGTCAGCGCGGGAGCAGAACTCGCACGTAAACGCAGCTCTCATGGTGACAGCCTTTGGGTCCTTGTCAGGGAATGACACTGTGAACGACAAGTCACTGGTGCGATCAACACTTGGACCCGCTTGCTTAGCGATGCTGAGTGCCGATGACGCGCAGCGTTGTGCCTTCGTAACCACTCCATTGACTTGAGCGTGTAGAACCTTCTGTCTTTGCTCCTCCGCGAATGAGAGCAAGCGGCGCAGCAGGTAGTCAGCACGCCCCGATTTCCTGTCAAGGTGTTCCTTGAGAACGCGGTGAAAGGACTGCGCCCATCGGAGCACAATGATTAAACAACCAGGCATGTGCCACGAGGTAACGGACAGCGAAGAGCACGTAAGGGTGTGGTTCTTCAGGTGAATGCGTGCATATCTCTGGGTGCGTGTGCGTGTGTGTGTGTGTGTGTGCGTGTGTGCGTGCATGCGTGTGTGTGTGTGTGTGTGTGACGTGGCCTGGGTATGACCACTGACCTCG